CTAACCTGAAGTTGGGTTGCCAAACTAAACCAATTGGCATCAACTGGAAGCCAAAATACTTGCTGCATTGGTTTCCCATTGGAATAAAGTTGTTGATATGTGTACTCTATCTTTGCCAACGAGTTTTCACCCTTTTCAGGCAAATTGTAGTTGCCGAACTCGAGTTCTGCCAGCCACCCATCTGGCGATTGCAATTCCTGTTCAACACAATGCCATATCATCTATCCTAGTAACTCCAAATGCCTGGAATTAATGTATGTGATTATATCATACCTTCCATTTCCAAGAACCAGTAAAGGCTATGTAAAGTGGGACGCTCACATCTCCGGTGAATAGGGAATCATTAGCACTCCCAGCAGTCCCATAGTGAACTATTCCTTTAATGTCGAAAACGTCTAATAGAATTTGCACCGTTATTCCTGCATTTAACTGAGAAAAATAAAAATTATACATAAATGGAAAATAATCGAATTTGAAGGAATAAATTAATATGTTACCGTTTGTTCCCCACTCATCACATAAATCACATCAACGCCTTTAATCTTCCCAATGTTGAATCTCCTTCCTAGTTAAGCAGCCGACAGAGACAAGTAGTTTAGGTTTTAATTGAAGTCCACTTTCAGATTTTCCATTTCTGTGAATTGCTTAATCAGTGTAACTTCATCACCGTAGAATCGTAGTCTAATTGTAACATTATCCAGGAGTTTTATGAGAGAAAAAAACAAACAAGAATCTGATGAAAATCATCTAAATTAAGCTTACCTGCCAAATCAATGGAAGGAACATTAGAGCTGGGAACGAAGAAACGAGAAGTTACGAGTGCGGCCTCTTCAGTGGGATAAGCCATTAAGAGGCCAATGTAAGGACCTCCATAATTATTCACTGTTTCAACCAAATGATGCAATGGATGAGTCGATCTAAGCTGGATTGAGTGCTGCACTTGTACCACCAACACCGTTACTAATGTCACAAACTTCAGTGTCTCCATTTCAGATCCGGATTTGCTACACCCATGGATCACTGTCAACTACGCTTCGGTCTCTCTCTCACAG